AAAATGGTTCACAATAGGTATAGGAAAGTATTTATAAACAAAAAATGTTCAGTCACGTAAATATTTCGAAAATTAAAAAATATATAGGGTGTCCCATTAAAAAAAATGAAGTTATAAGCAACTTCCGGTATAACCGGAAGTAGGAAATCGATGAAAATATTTTCATTAAATAGGTCATTCTTCAAAACTCCTTCTTTCTATTTTTCATAATTCAGTTAGTTTCGATCTTATAGGCACACAGCCCTGTTTTTTGAATTCTGAGGCTGATGTGCCCTCGGATTGATATCAAATACTGATTTTTGTGTGCTTATGTGTATAATTGTACATGATGTGTCTCCGACCTTCTATTAACCCAATAATGTTGGTATATTCTTATTGCTCACTTCTTCTTTCAGTATTGATAACCATCCATTCGGCTGATGGGTTTGTTAAATGTTTTTCTTCAGAGTGCTTCCTTAATTTTTCTCTTTTTGTTGCCTGTTTCTTTCATGGCTATTGACGCATCTTTCCATCGTATTGATGGTGTGTCGAAGTCTTTGTTATTGATGTATAAATTGTGCTTTAATGCCATACAAGTACAATATTTAACTTAAACATGGCACAAAGCAATAGTTTCCGAACCTCTTATTTATAATATGTACCCACATTTTTTAAGTTTTATTAAACTTAATGAAATATAGCAACACTGCCTTTTAAGAGATCAAAATTTCTAACAAATGATTATTTTGAACGATTTGGTTAACTTATGAACTTTTAGGTTATTGTATATAATACATATTTACTGTCTTTAGAAGTCATAAAATCGCTTATATAACTTGTAATTAACTAATTAATAATAATTTATTGTGGAAAATGCCTAGAATCGTGTTAAATGGTTAAAAGCTGGAAAGTTATTTTTTTTTTTTGTAAAATGAAAAGCCCAAATCTGCTAATTTACAAAGCATTAATGTGCAATGCTTATTAAAACCTTTTTCAATGAGAGTTAAAACAGTACTCCTAATGTTTAAATAACAACTTGATAATTTAGTAAAATATGTCCTGTTAACTCAAAAATTGCTGTATTTTATAGAGAACGAAAACTAAGAACCATTTAATATTATTTAAACTACAATGATTCATGGAATAACTGAAAATCTGTGAACATGCATTGTAGTTTTTATCATTTATAGAATATAATGAAAAGACTTGTTCTGGTGGCTTATTCCCAGTTAAATAGTAATTAATTGATTGTTTATACAATACTACCGAATAATGTCCATTTACTTGAGTTTTATTCACAAATCTGTCAACATCTTTGACTGCTACATGTCTTTTTAAGGTAACACTTATAACATCTTTTCCATGATTGTGTGGTTCTCATATTGTACTTTTTAGATGAACTGATGATGCTTTCAGAATACGAAAGCGAAACGTCTTCAAAATAGATAAAGTAGCCTATCAACTTTGTCTTTTATTTCTCCACCTTGAGACCGATATAAGAACCCACCACTCTTCTGAGTGATCCTTATAATATATTGGATTGACGGTCGTACTCCTTTTTCCTATATATATATATATATATATATATATATATATATATATATATATATATATATATATATATATATATATATATATATGTCATAAGGTATATAACGTGTATATAAGGACGTCATAAACACCTGAATGTTGACGTTGAGGATTGCGAATGTCATGGTATGGACGAAGAAGACTTTTTGATTAAGAAAATTAATTTCTGATCATTAAAAATTTTTCTGTATATTAAATAAAATAAAAATTTGTATCAAAAACGGCTGTTTTCATTTAAGTTAATTACAAACGCGAATCATAACCATTCTTGAACCATTGAACCAAAATTTAACCAAAACCGGCTCAATGTCAACTTTAAAACTTACTATAGGCTAAACCCTTCAGGGGAAATTATTGACATTTTCAGACCTTACTAGATATAGTAGTAAAAAAATTATAAAAAGGAACCATTGTGACAGCTGGTAAAATTTGGGCGCTACAGAAAACTGGCCTTCCTGAAAACTTGTTTTAAATGGGTTTTAGTCGTCTTTGTAATTAGGCTACTCAATTATATACAAGAAGATACAAACGATTTAACCGCAAATATTTTATTCCAAAGACTGTTTGTTGTAAAATTCTATCAGTTACCGGTATATGAAACAAAAATGATTCTTAATTCCGTTCACTATACTTTCCTAATAATACAGTAAATATACGATGATTATACTCTTTCTGCTAAGCCTGTATTAAATATAATATTGCAGTACTCCAAAATTGGAGGGATGTTTTTTTAAAGGACTACGAACCCCTTCCCACATCAGTTGAGCCAACGTTATATTGAAAAGAAAATTAAATTTTAGAGAACAAAAACCAAAGTTCAGCATAAACTTTAAGTTTTAATGCGTCGAACAACATTTTTGAATTTCCATCTTCTTCTTAAGGTACCTTCGCCGTTACTGAAGGTTGGCTATAACTACAGCAAATTGCTCTCTATCTTGAGCTGTTCTTAGTATCGAATGTGTGTCCATACCTGTCCAGTCTCTTACATTCTTCAACCAGGAGCATTTTCTTCTTCCTGGACCTCTTCTTTCTTCCACTTTCCCTTTCATTATAAGTCGTAGGAAGTTCTATTTTTTCTCCTCTGTAAATATGTCCTAGACAACTCGTTTTTCTGTTTTTTACAATATTTTGGAGTTCTCTCTCAGTACCCATTCTTCTTAACACCTCGTGGTTGGTCACGTGCTCTGTCCAAGAGATCTTTAGCATCCTTTTAAAAACCCACATCTCAAAGGATTCTATACACCTCATACTTGTAATTCCGAGAGTCCATGTTTTCACTCCTTATGGTAATATGGAATAAATAAACGTTTTTACAAATTGGTATCGGATATCTAACGATAACGTAGAGTTTATTAGTAATTTCGTGGTCAAGATCATTTGTTATCTAGCAACCAAGATACTGGAATCTTTGTATTCTATATGTTTGTTATATATACGAATATTAATGTCAACATTTGGTGCACGTGTAACAACCATTACTTTTGTTTTATTTGTGTACAAGATTCTTTGTTATCCAGCAACCAAGATACTGGAATCTTTGTATTCTATATGTTTGTTATATATACGAATCTTAATGTCAACATTTGGTGCACGTGTAACAACCATTTCTTTTATTCCTTCTTCAATATTTTCGAGGGCATTTTGAAAGATCTTTTCGAAATATATGTTAAATAACAGTGGAGAAAGCACACAGCCCTAAAGAACTCCTCTTTTTATTGGCAATTCTGCTGTCAGACGATTGTCTATTTTGATAGACGCCATTTGATCCCAATATAGTTTTTTAATAAGTGCTGCAGTGTTATGTTCTATACCATGTTGTGTTAGGGTTCTATGAGTTCTGTGTGTTTTATTATTCGATCAAACGCTTTTTCGTAGTCGATAAAACAGAGAAACGAGTTTCGCTGATCTCGGCATTTTTGTAGTAATATCTGGAGGCCAAATAATGTCTCCCTTGTGCTAAGCCCCATACAAAATCCAAATTGATTATTTATTGAAGGTTTCTTTCGCATTCTCTGAATATTCGTTGATGTACAATTTTGAGTAAAATTTTCAGAAAATGGATCATCAGGCTAATTAATCTGAGCTGTGAGCATCTATTTGCTTTATTTTTCTTGGGTATAGGTATAAATGTCGATCTAAGCCAGTCTTCTGGAAAGATTCCAGTGGTATATATATTTTGTTAAATAATATTGTTAACGTCTGAAGATTTTTTTCATTGATAAGCTTTATCATCTCTACGTATATTTCATCTGGACCTGAGGCTTTTCATGGCTTTGCCGTATTGATTGTTTTTGTAACTTCCGATGTTAATATATCAAGTATTGTTTCTTGTACTATATTCATCTGTGGTTCTGTTCTCTCGTCATCAAACAGATCTTCAATGTATTTTCCCACATATCTCCTACATTTTCTGGACTAGATACTATTTCGTTGTTATCATCTACTAAAAGTGTTGTAGTGACTTTTTTTCTTCGTATTTGTGACTTCTTTAATCTTTTTGTATGCATTAAAGTAGTCATGCTTTTTTAGTCAATCTCCCAGTTCCTCACACTTGCTGCTCATCCATTCTTCTTTGGCTTTCCTAATTTTGTTTCGGATGATTCTCTGGGTTTCTTTATATTTTTCTTCATTGTCACATAATTATAGAAAATATTTTTTATAGTTATGAAAACAATTAATTAAACAAAATAAAAATAAATTACTAAACGCATAAAATATGTAATATTAACAAAAAAAAATGTAAAAATTTACTATCGAGTGACATCTCCTTCGAGGCATAGATTTTACAAAGTCTGACAATCTCATATTTCTTGCAAAGTTTCCTTCAATTCGTTGAAAGACCTGGCAGGATGTTTCCTCAATGATTTTTTCATTTCGCACCAGACAATTTCCTTAGACGACAAGTCGGGACTGTTATAAACCCATTCCAGAAGTGGTATACCACAGTCTTCAATCCATTACCCCTCAAAAAAAGGTGGCCTAACCACACAAGTACTACAGAGGATGCCCCATTACCCAGGGAATCCAAAGTAACGTTCAGTACAAAAGCCTTTCCCATTTGTTATGTCCTGGGATACAGAGGGGTGGTTGGTTATAGCTTGCGGGTCAGATAGGTACCGCTCCATTAAGAAGTGTGACCGGTTTGATCTTCGGACATATGAGTCCCACTGATCCATTGGAACGCACATGTCACTCGGAGATGGGGTTTATATAAATTTTGTATGTGTGTGTATGCATGTGTGATCAAATAACAGAAATAAAGGTCAGGTCAGGTCATAGAAATAGCAAGAAGTGCGTCTGTAAAAATGAAAACAATTTTCTGCAATAAATATCTTACTAAATAAAAAGAGAATATCTCATCGTATTTTTAAAGCTTGTTTTACGTAATTTTGTTATATATGTATCTATTGGTAAATATATTAGCAGCTTACTTTTTGATCAGCATCTTGATATGAGTTTCTGACACAGTGGGAAACATGCCAGATATTTTACCGACGAGTACTTCATCTGGATCTGCTGGCATAAAGGTACTGTCTTGGACCTTAGCGGACCTCACCGTCAAAGGGCTAGCTTTAGGTTTCATGTCCTAGAAAACAGACTGATTAGTGGTTGTATTAATATATATTTACTGCAACAGTTTCTTAATTTTAACAGCAAAACGTTTCATTTTTGTTCCCTCAGGTTTAATTAAAGGGTAATATTAAAAACAAAATCCATGAGAATAAATGCAAGAAACAACACGCTATTCACCATTAATAACATGCAGATTGAAAATGTGGAAAACTTTACGTATCTTGGAAGTGTCATAACAGAAAGCGGAGGTACAGAAGACGATATTCGTATGAGGATACGAAAAGCGCAACAAGCTTTCAGCATGCTCAACCCTGTTTGGAGGTCTGGAGAATACACTACGAGGACAAAGATCCGCATATTCCAGTCAAATGTCATGTCTGTACTACTTTACGGATGTGAAACCTGGAAAGCGACAAAAACCCTTACAGACAAACTGCAGGTCTTTGTTAATAAATGTCTACGAAGAATTGTTCGTATTTTCTGGCCTAACATCATCAGAAACGAAGACTTACTACACCTGACCAAACAAAAGAGGGTAGTAAATGAAATAAAGTCCAGAAAGTGGGGTTGGATCGGTCACACACTCCGAAAAATAACTCCAGTATTGCAAAGACTGCCCTAGAGTGGAATCCCCAAGGAAAACGAAAAAAAGGTCGCCCAGTACAAACTTGGAGAAGATCCATCATGGACGAGATAAGAAAACAAGGAAAGTCTTGGAATGAGGTGAAGGCCTTAGCGCAAAATAGAACCCGATGGCGCGTTTTCACTGAAGCTCTATGCTCCACTTAGGAGTTCAAGAACCTTATGTAATATTAAAAACAAGAATATTAAGAATAACGTTTTCTTCCGTTTAGTATACATTTACTTTATTCTTGTAGGTTGAAACGAAATCTTGTTAAAATAACCGATCTACAGAAGAAGCATATCAACATATCAAAGCCTGCATTAAAGAAACAGCGGAAGAAGACCTAAGACAAAAAATAAAAAGGCGGGAAAACTGCACTGGAGGGACAAAGTCATTAAAGAAATAATTAATCAAAAGGAAGAAAAGTGCACAGTTAATTCAAAACAGATGCGAATGAATATTAGAACCGTACAAGCATATGAATATAAGAGTTAAACAAGAAATATTCAAGAAGAAGAACAGTCCCTGATAAAAAAAAATGTAGCCATATAGATAACCACAAAGCTCTGAAGCCTGAAAGAGTCTAAAAAGCATAAGGACGAATGATAAAAGTTAATAAGTGCTTATAAATAGCATATTTGACAAACAGTGGATAGAACACTACTGAATTATTGACAGAAATACGAGAAAATTTTCTAGAGAATGAGCAGAACATTCAATTAACAGATTAAAGAATGAATTTAAGGTAGGAATAGGTAGCAAGAGCTATAAAAAGCATACAAAACTGCGGATAATTTCAGGTCCAGAGGGGATAAATCCAGAACTAGTACAATTTAGCACAGTAAAATTACTAGAAATGCTCCAAAAAATTTTCGAAATATATTTCGTCTATCCATAAAAACGGTACAAAAGCCGACCCAAAGATCTACGGGACATAGCAGCGGTAGCACCAACGGTAAGAAGAATTTATTCTAGGATTTTGAAGAAATTTATCGAGGAAGACACTATAAATAAACAACCGAAAGAACAAAAAGGATTTCGACAGGGAAGTCGACCATAGATAATATATTTACGCTAAAAATTGCATTGAAAAAAAAAGGTACAGCGGAATAGACAAACTCATGAAACTGTAATAGATCTTGAAAAAACATATGACAGTGTATTGATGACAATGTATTGAAACCTAGAAATTAGTCCCATTAGAGAACGCCTAAACAACATCCGAAATGTGAATGACACAATTGTTTTTGCAGACAGTTTAAAAAGTTTACAATAGCTAATGAACAAAGTAAATTAAGTAAGTGAAAGATTTAGATTAGAAATAAATATATCAAAAATAAATTTATGATCATCGGCAAAAATAAAATTGTGGACCGAGTAAAACAATTTACCTATCTTGGAATTATAGTAAACGAACAATGGAATTACTCATAGGCACATAAGATAAAATGTAGAATAAAGACGAATTCAACCTTAATCTGGACATCATAGTAAGGCTGCTACGGTGTTATATCTTCCCAATCCTACACTATGGCGTTGAATTGATGAACACTGACGCAATGGAGAAAAAATTTGAAGCCTTTGAGATGTTGTTATAATGTACTAAGAATATCGGAAAGAAAGAGAAGTGGTATTCACGGATAAAAGAGGAAAGTTAGATTATCTTGGACACATAATGAGAAATGACACAAAATATAGATTACTAAAATTAATCCTCTAAGCTAAAGTATTCGAAAAGTGAAGAATTGGAAGAATAAGTGAAGAATAGCATGGTTAAAAATCCTGCGAAATAATTCTCCGCAACAACAAATAATCTTGTTACGAACATGCGTTCGACGGGGCCCATGTAACGGTTGCATCTCGAAAGGGTATCGAGAACTTTCCACAGATGTCTCGAGCGCATGAGAGGATCGGCCCGTCAAACAACGAATCAGAGGTGGGACTACACCAGATGATTCTAGAACAATATTTTTGGTATATATATGTAACGATGTTATGGGTTGGGTTAGTTGATAAGGTATTACCGAACTGTAAACTTATATTCGAACCGCTCGTTTTATTTAAAAGCGGTACAATCTATTTAAAGCATCAGTCAATAAAATATTAGTTATAGAAGAAGTTTTATTTTAAAAATATTCATATAATATTACACCACTATTGAGGTCAACACTACGACAACAATTAAAATAATTATTACACTTTTTTGCTGCTAAAATAAAAGAAACTAAAAATAATACGAACTACTGAAACACATTTAACATCTAATGGAACACAAAAAGCTATAATATATTTACCGAGTTCGTTCCAAACGTCAGGGCACTACAATTACTTTCTTTTGTAAATAATTCTTTGTCAGACAATGTTTTCCATCAATTCATCGTAAATAGCAATATATAAAGCTAAGGGGGTATGTTATACAAGATATAAAAAATAGTAAGATAAAATACCATGCACATTTCTAAATAAAAGGGTATATTTAATTGATATATTACAAACTAAGTATGCCAGATCTATTTTTCGATCATCCGATTGAACAGTTATGTAGTAAAAACATATTAATATATTTATTGTCCGAGTACTGTCTTATAGCGTCTTCCCACGATCGGCGATATTGCGGACGGATGCAGACCAGCTCGCACTTACGCACCGTGGGAAATGTCTCGTCCGTGCACGTCTGTGCTGGTGCATCGTATCCATCCAGAGTCGGTAACATCAAAGGTGCGGTATATGCCCGTGCGACACGATACGCGCGTCCATGTTTTAGCAGACAAGGTTAAGTCAGAAATTGTTCATTCGTGTTCATTCGCTGACAAGAGTAGTTGTCTGTAGTATTGTTAAAGTTGTTTTGCAGTTTTTTTTATAAGTTTTTTGCTAAAATATGGAATGGAGAAACAAAGTTATTTTTAATTTTTTAAATTTGTATCAAAATAAACCAAGTTTATTGAATTCTACGGCACCAGAGCATAATAACTGGAACGATATATACGATGTGTGGAACCAAATAAACAACCAATTGAAGAATAGTAATATTTCGATTAAATACTTAAAAAAGAAGAGAGACAAAAAACAAAAGTAGAGACCTACGCAGACTATCACTGACCGTAGGAAGAGCTCTGTCTGTGGTGCGTTGCCGTCCGTGCTCATCGGCTGTCCTCCATGATCTGTAGAATCGCCGATCGTAGGAAGCCGCTATTATATTGATAAGTGTACGCAAGTATGATTGTAAGATCGGTAAAAACAAATCATTGTTAACTATCGTTCAATCCTGGAATCGGCACCTGTTCTCATTAAACAACCGACAAGTGTAAACAGTTGGTTTAAAAATAGTATCTGCGTTTCTAGTCTAAAATGTATTTTAGATGCGTATACAGAGGTAATGAAATCAAAGAATGGCTGTCAGAATGATCGAAAACGAAAGACGGAATTGGTCATACATTGGTATGAGATACTCATAAAATTTTATATTGGATTTTATATTATTCCGATACCAAAAACCCAAAAGTACAATGATTGTCGTCTAACAAGAATTTACATCTTAACAATCCATAACTTAGAATATTCCCTATTTTAAATATAACAGAATATATCCGTGTGGAGTTTCCACGGGGAATAAAGAAAGCTGAGCAACTATTTAGAATAGCTCGAGACAGAGACAGTTTCGCCATGTTAATCGCCAACGTCAAGGGGACTTAATAGGGCACGTTAAGAAGAAGAAGAAGGAGTTTCCATCAGAACTGTGCCTAGAGTAAATAAAATACCTCCCTCGAACCAAAACAGAATTAAGTATGACAAACCTAATAGAAGAGTCCTTGGCCCATCTTTATTAGGCATAGCAAACACGTACATAGTAGATGTTTTAGCACTACATGACTGTACAGGATATAGGATTATATCATATTTTGGCGATGGAAAGAAAAGAGCTCTATGAGAGAAGAGACCCAAACCTTACTATGGCCGAGAGAAGACGGGAAAGGTCAATTGAAAGACGGCAAGAAGAATGGAACAACACGGAGGATGCGGCACAGTGGATGAAAAGGCTGATTTCGAACATAAGAGATTGGCTGGACTGTGGCCACAGGCGATTGGATTATTTCCTCACAACTGGACGCAGGTGCTCACAGGACACGGGTGTTTTAGGACCTACCTCTCTAGGTTCGAAAAGGCTGAGACAGATGAATGCCTGTACTGTGGACACTCGAACACTGTTACACATACGATGTTAGATTGCAACAGACGGATAGTAAAAAGGAACAGAATGGAACGAGAGGCAGGTGTGATTTTTTTACAGTGATAGAAATGATTGAGAGAATGATTGCAAATAAATCAGGATGGACTAGTATCTTCTTCTTTTGGTGCCTATCCTCTGTGGATGTTGGCAATCACGTTGG